GAGACAGGAAGCTGCAGAGATCCATGATCGGCCATATTCTGAATGAACATGGCACAGAAAGAGAGGATGATTTATAATTTATATATAAATAACTAATGTTGACTGATCTGTTTATTTACAAACTGGCACAAATTTCCATATTGCGTGGGTGTCATCATAGCAAGCAGAATCCCACACACCATTGTGTTTGGAGGTTATCAATAAGAGATCAAGGTTAATTTATCTTTAATTTTCGTCTTCTTATTTTTAGTTTTGTGGTTTAAATCCACTTTATGATGAAACATTTTAATCAATAATCAAAGCTTCAGCAGGAAGACATAATCTACGTTTCACTTTAACGTCGAAAGGACGCTTCAACCTGGAGCTAGAGGTAAGAATCTCTTTAAACTATTTACATTATTCGGACTATTGTCCTCATCTTTGTCGCTATGTTTATCACAACGTTTCGGCCGTTGTACGCTCTGGCCTTCTTTAGGTGGTTGGAATGTCGAACTGAATCCTTTATTTCGCTCATTGGGGTGTACTGTTCTAGATGTCAGTTATCTCCTGTTAATTCCCCTCTGAAACAGGAGATAACTGACATCCATTAGACATGGCACGTGGAACTAGAACAGTCTACCCCAGCGAGCGAAATAAAGGGTTCAGTTCGACATTCCAACCAACTGAAGAAATCCGAAGCGTACAACGGCCGAAACGTTGTGATAAACATGCCGACAAAGATAAGGACAATAGTCCAAATAATGTAAGTAGGGTACGTAATACTTCATCTCAGAAATATAGGCAGATACTGAAGAATCTCTTTATATTCTAATATTTTATATATACAAGATATGTACTTTTCTTCGTTTTTTTTTAATAAAGGAACTCGGCTCTCCGAATTCTCATTACATTATCCGCACATCCCTAGAATACACTAAAATCAACAGCTAATATAGGCGTTTTCTCTATTCATTGGAGCCATTATTGGGGATAAACGACTAAAATATACAAAAGGCAAGATTAAATGCCTTTCCAATATTCGATTGCAAGTACTTTCGGTAAAAACATTTACCATCCTCAGGCATAGCTGTTATTTTTTTTCTCAATTTCAGGTAATTCCGGGTAAAATTCCAAGACGAAAATAAATGTGATACTTTTCGAAAGATGTTTTAATAAAAAGTGTGCTATTATTTTAAGTTAAGAATTTTTTTTGAACGTGCAATAATGTGACGCTAGATTTTTGAATATAAATAAACAAATAAGATGCTCTATCAGTAATGCTAATATAAAGCAAATTGAATCTAATACTACTTCAACTAACCCCAAACATATTAATCTTCTATATTGTAACCAAATGCATTCTAATTATAAACAAGACGAAAATATCATAAAAAAAATTAATAAATACCAACATATCCACCACAGACCGAAAGTTGTTGTAGAAATGAAATCAATTTATCCAGATAAATGGAAAAGGAAGAAGGGAAAAAAAGAAAGAAAAAAAGGGTGGGGAAATGATATTAAAAGAGGAAGAAAGAAAAAAGAAAATTTCAGGATAAAATTTTTTTAAATTTCAATATAAAATTTTTTCTTTCTTATATTGCTCTGTTACTTAAACTGAACTCTTTTTGGATTAATGTCCTCCTTGGAATTATCCCTATCAATTACCAATTGGCATGATATATATATATATATATATATATATATATATATATATATATATATATATATATGTGTGTGTGTGTGTGTGTGTGTGAGAGAGAGAGAGAGAGAGGTATTATATTTAAGGATAATGACCGAGTCGGCCGAATGTACTCGAAAAATAAAAAATTAAAAAAAATAACCAACAAAATCCCGGACATTGGACAGATTATCCAGTTTTGATCCGGGCGTGAATCAATTTATTCAAAATTTAGAAAAATACAATTAAAATATTAAACACACATACCTTATTGATTGAATTTAATTAAAACAAAAAAACATGTGTTTGGTAATGAAGTATTTGTTTGGAATACATGCCGTTCCCGATGGCGTTAGTGCGAAATTGAATGCAGGAGCTTGAACTCGGGTCGTTGATTTCAGTTTTTGTGCCGATAATCGTCACGCTACTCGTACATCGGAATAAGCTTTCAAACTTGAAAATTCCAATTCGTATTCTTGTTTTTACAAATACCTTTGCTTGAAAAGTAACAAAAACATATACCACGTGGATGGTTTGATTTGATTATGACCGAACCCCTGCTCGCGATTCTCTCTTCCGGTATCGACGACAGTCACACAATCTGCACATACTACTCAGGCTGTAATACTTGTAAAATCTCCCTTGACAGAAACCAGCATGTATGTTCGATGCAAACCTTAATCTAGGTTTTTGTATCCACTGAGGTTTCTCGGGCACATCACGTGGAAAGAAGGTTCGGAGAATTCGACACTAACAGGACAAATTGAATGCAAAAGCGACAAAGGAAAGCAGTGCATAATGGAAACAACAGGGATTAGGAGTGATAACAAAAAGATAAACCTTACTAAGAGCTACAAAGGACAGGAAGTTGTGGAGAGCCATGGCAACCCATGTTCTGCAGGGATACGGCACAGAAGAAGTGTGATTTCTGTGTAAATGCAATTTTATATGCACGTATGTATTGACAGTTTCATACTATTAGCTCGTCGGGGTGTAGGGATGGCTTTCTTTTGCGCATGCGTGCAAATGTGTATGTCCACAAATGTGTATGCGTATATCTTGCTCATTTCCGTTAATGAGGGTATTTTGAAGTGTTTGTGTCCTGTCTGTATGCGTGTGAGTGTCCTTTGTTTTTGATATCTGTCCACTTGGCAGAAGTTCCCGGTACACACCGGATATTGTGCCAGTGCCGAAGGCTCCCAGCCAAAAATATGAGACAAAGACTCGTTGTCATTTATAAAATCTGCCCTATTCTCTTTTCAAAACCGGTATCATTCGCTGACAGCTCTTAGCACAATGCAAAGCAAATTTAAAATTGACTGGACTTAAGAGGTGTGCATGCCTTTGGTGGACACATCGATAACAGGTTCCCCAATCCTATCAAAATGATTCAGCTCAAAATAAAATATTAGGTTAAGGGATAAATAATTTCCTTTATAAAATAAAATATTAGATTAAGGGATAAATAATTTCCTTTATAAAATAAAATATTGGATTAAGGGATAAATAATTTCTTTAATAAAATAAAATATTAGATTAAGGGATAAATAATTTCCTTTGTAACATAAAATATTGGGTTAAGGGATAAATAATTTCCTTTATAAAATAAAATATTAGGTTAAGGGATAAATAATTTCCTTTATAAAATAAAATATTAGGTTAAGGCATAAATAATTTCCTTTATAAAAAAAAGCATTAGGTTAATGGATAAATAATTTCCTTTATAAAATGAAATACAATTACATTTCATTCAATGATATAGTCACCGTTATTTGCAGTGTCTGTTTTTTTTATTACGGTTGTTTACCCACTACAAGGCCCAAGAGCCGCACAAGGTAGAGCCGGTTTCAATCTTTAATAATATAAGGAAAGCGTGTCACAGAGGGTTGATAGCAGACCTAGAAACAGAACTCCAGGAACTCCGAGAAAATGAAGATAAAAAAAAAATTACGCATCAATTGTAAGAATACAGAATTTACTGTTGTCAGCAAAAGGAACAGTACAATATGCGAACTAAGCAACGGAGACATCAAAATCAATCCATATTTGGAACATTCGTCGGAGACATTTTTGCCGTATGAATTTTCGCCGTATATGATTTTTGCCGTAAGACAATTTCGCCGAATTTTTTTTTCCATATCTTCGTCTTGAACATCCCTTTTGGATAATGTTCAATTTAATATGCAAAATACGTTGTTATCAAATATATTTTAAATATATAACTAAGTAGTATTTTAAATTGTTTAAATGTTTTTGTATTTGATGAATTGCATGTCAATGATATTTTGGATCAGAAGGTGGTGAGTTGTAATAATGTATGTTCAAATATAAGAAAGTATATTTCAATATTTAGGTATTTATAGTGAATTTAAAACAGTTTATGTTGGCAAATAATGTGTAAATTTTGAAAAGACTTACTGAGCGTTTAAAAGGATTATCTCTCTTTTATCAGATATTTTATATTGAATTTGTTTGCGTATTCAAGTTGGTTTGAAATAATATATTGTTTAAGTGAGAAATAATGGCAGACTAATATTATTTTCATTTAAATATGAAATTGCTGACGTAGCTTCTGCAAGTTAAATTTTGCAAAATCAATGTTTCCTATAACTTCGCGTATTAAAATGTTTAAATCGAAGTAACAATAGTGTGAGCCAGATATACTTGATAACAAGGTACTTCGCATATTTTTAAAAAAATGCGGCGAAATTGTCTTACGGCAAAAATCTAACGGCAAAGTTTTTTACGGCGAAAATCACTGTGGTGAGTTTTCCTACGGCAAAAATGTTTACGGCGAATGTTCCTAGGAGCAACATCAAGCAATTACGAAAATGTACATACATAGAAAGAAAACATGACACGTAAATTTGAAGGTGGATTGGAAAAACGAAATAAATGCTTGAGAAGCTAAGTAAAGTATTAAGAAACAGGTTACTAGATGAGAGTTGGTTCCACAAAGTAACGATTCTTGGAATGAAGCTGAATGGATGTTCCTTTTTATCGATGGAAATATAAAAGGGATCAGGATGTGGTACGGCGAGTCTTATTAAGTCGGAAACTAGTGGAAATGTAGCTCGTCAGCTTTTCGACAAAACAGCAAAGAAAATGGTTGTACGATGGACAATAATCAACCAGATTCATTATTCATTTATTCAGTTAACTCATGTTGCGCAGCTGCTGTTTTCACCATCCACCTCCAGACAACGTCCTGTCATTCACCCCCTCAAGCCCGCCAGGAATGTCACGCACTGCTTTCTCTTGTCTCTCTATCCCTCTATTCGACCCGTGAGTATCAGATTCTCCAAGCCTTCCTTCCTAATCATGTATCCCAGAAACTTCTTTATATCGACAGAGAGAGAGAGAGAGAGAGAGAGAGAGAGAGAGTGATTAAAAAAGATAGATAGATAGATAGATAGATAGATAGATAGATAGATAATATTAATTTGTCAGTGACACTTGGTTAAATTCCTGATCAATGCCAATGTAAAAAGTACAAATTTACCACCGAGATATGGTAACATAAACTTGATATGAAAATTTAAAAAACCGTTGGCGTGTTACCAAATTTTGTATACTACCCCAGGCACATTTCGTCAGTGCAGAAAAGGACAAGTGTTAAGAGGGGTGAATTGGTAAAGTAATTGAAAATCTATCAAAAAGTCTGAATATTTGTCGACATAACCTAGGTACAAAGGTAAAACACTTTTTTTTCTTTAATTTCCTCTTTTGCTGTCAAAATGTCTTGTATGACTTATAGATGTAATCATTAAAGTTTATACGTATTCGTTTAATATTTTATATCCCGGATACCACAGATTGTATAAACGGAGAATCAGTTAAATGCCATACGTGATACACGATTATGTCTCTTTCGATCCATGACTGACGAGAGAGAGAGAGAGAGAGAGAGAGAGAGAGAGAGATTTCTTCGCAGTAGGGTGTCATTTCTTTCTGCAATAGGTTGCCAACCAAAATTATAGAACCCTGTCTCTCTTGCTGTTTAACCCATAGATGTAGGGAGAAGAGATGGATTCATAACTTTCCCAAGGATATTTGCACGTACAGGAATGTAACGCACTCAACTGGAATTCGAACTCGGTTCTCCGCTTTCTCATTCCGAACCGATATTCCATGTCACCATAACGCAGTTACGACCTTGTGCAAATTAATTGAAACAAACGCTTTAATTTTCCTTTCTTTCACCATACGGTCAGTTTTAGACCCACTGGAGTGACAGGGTGTAATCGATTTCTATTTTTTCCTCAGATTGGGTCATTTGCAGTAGTGTGCAGTAATATGAATTTATTTTCGGGGTGAAATTCGTTTGGCCTTGAAAAATATTGCGTCATCCGTGATTGCATCAGATTTTCATTACGCCCAGAAACTATTATCTCGACTGTCGATTAGTTGTCCTACGGCCATTGTCTGCGATAGAACTTACTCCAAGGAAGCTTACGAAAATTGTAATGCTGCACGAACACACCGGAACACCTTACCAGCGAGCAAATCAAAGTATTATAGTCCGGTCCGGAAACTCTCTTGATTTAAATCCAATCGAGAATTTGTGGTCAATCTGCAAGAAACGAGTTCGTGGAATGGACATACGAAGTACTAACATGTGCACTGAGTCATATTTCATTGGAAAAATTCGAAAAAAAAGGAGATAATAACGGAATTATTCGTTTTGTTTCAATTAATTTGCATAAGGGTGCATTTTAAGACAGTTTTATGTTTATACATTCTTTTTATAGATACAAATATTTAAGTAAATGCTCTGTTTATAATAAACAGTATTAAACAACATTTACCGGCCTGAATGTCCGAGAAATTTTCATAGAAAATATTAGTCCTCCGTCATTTGTTTACATTTAGATACGCTTTGAGCAAATATGAATGTACGTGAGAGGTTCATCTTTTGGAAGGCATCTTTCGTTATTCCAATGCGCCTTCAGATTTCAATGTCACATTTTCCGTCCTCTTTTAAAATACTTTCCAGATATTTTAAAGTTTCTTAATATTTTGCTTAGCTTTTGGAAGGCATCTTTCGCTATCCTAATGCGCCTTTGGATTTCAGTGTCGCACTTTCCGTCTTCTGTTAAAATACTTCCCTGATATTTTAATTGTTGTCCTTCTCCAATTTGTAATTTGTATGTCAGGCTGTCCCTTTTGCTAATAACCTTGCATTCCTTCATCTTGCAAATGATGTTTAATCATTTGGTCTCGCTTTTCTGTAATACTCCCGGCAGGAGTTCTTGTAGTTCCCTGTGTCTATCACCACTATGTCATCTACATCTCAAAGGCCTTTAACAAGATGTAGCAAAGGGTTTGTTGCCCAAACTCTCCAGTTATAGAATCTCTGGAAGAGTCTTCTCAGTTGTGAAAAAACCTTTCTATCAGATAAGTCCTTGAAAGTCGTTGTCAATGACCAGTCTTCTGAAGTCCATGAGATCAATCCCGGCATCCCCACAAGGCTTTCCTCCCTCAGTTCTAATCCTTTTCTTCCAATGTAACTCTGACAGGCTATATTTCTTCGTTCCACCAGTTCAGACTTTTACAACTATGACCGGCCATTCCGCATACACAGGATCGAATCATCCTCATCCGCTTTGTATTTGTTATGATAATTTACCCACGCACGCATGGACTCTCCCAGCTATAAGTAGGAACAGGTACTGCCTTTTGGAGAGAGAAGTTTGCAGCAGTCAGCCCTGACAGTCGGACCGAACATTCTTGCTGTAACACTCTCGTTTTATATGGTTGTATAACTGTTTCTGTTAATATATTGTTTAACTCAATTCCCCTCTTTTTCTGTCTTTATTTCTGGCCCTAACAAGGCCACAACAATACACACACACACACACACACACACACATATATATATATATATATATATATATATATATATGTATGTGTGTGTGTCTATATGTGTGTGCGTGTACGTGTGTGTGTGCGTGTGTACGTGTGTGTGTTAGGGTAATTTACCCACGCACGCATGGACTCTTCCAGCTATAAATAGGAGCAGGTACTGCCCTTTGGCAGAAGGAAGTTTCCAGCAGTCAGCTCTCACAGTGGGACCGAACATTCTTGTTGTAACACTCTCGGTTGTATATGTTTGTATTACTGTTTCTGTTAATATATTTGTTTAACTCAATTCCTCTCTTTGTGTCTATTTCTGGCCCTAAAAAGGCCACAACAATATATATATGTGTGTAGGGGTGTGTGTGTGTGTGTGTGTGTGTGTGTGTGTGTGTGTGTGTGTGTGTGTCTGTGTGTATGTGTGTGTGTGTGTGTTGTGTGTGTGTGTGTGTGTGTGTACGTGTGTGTGTGTTTGTGTGTGTGTGTGTGTGTGTGTGTGTGTGTGTGTGTGTGTTATGGTAATTTACCCACGCACGCATGGACTCTCCCAGCTATAAATAGGAGCAGGTACTGCCTTTTGGGAATGGGAAGTTTCCAGCAGTCAGCTCTGACAGTCGGACCGAACATTCTTGCTGTAACACTCTCGTTTGTATATGTTTGTATTACTGTTTCTGTTAATATATTTGTTTAACTCAATTCCTCTCTTGTGTTTTTTTTTTATTTCTGGCCCTAACAAGCCCACAACAATATATATATATATATGTGTGTGTGTGTGTGTGTGTGTGTGTGTGTGTGTTGTGTGGGTGGGTGTGTGGGTGTGTGTTAGTAAGAATGAAGTTCTATTCGGTGAGCTTCTTCCCAAGAATTTGCTGTTTTGTGAAAAAATACTTCCTCGGCCACTACAATGTTAACCTCTTCAAGTCCAGGGTCATCTGTTATGTATCCTACATATCCTCATAGTCTGCACTGCTTACCTCGTCCCCTTGATTTCATAACACATCATTATTCAGTAGACCTCCACCTTGGGTAGCTCTTGAGCCTTGTATTGGATAAAAAAATATCAGCCAGTAGATCTCCCTCAAGCCTGTTAGACTTTTGGTTACGGATTTTAAACTGCCACGTTACCTTCTAAACTGGTTGCCCTCCTAAGACAAAAGAACTCAATCCAATCGGTTGTTTAACCTGTAGCTGGAGGGACGGGGAGAGAATAAATTCATTCATATCTTCCCCAAGGGCATTAGTGCGAAGTGAACCCAAAGACCTCGACCTGATTTTGAACTCGGCCTAGCGATTACTTTATCCGTACCAATAACCACCACGCCACACGCACGTGTGTGTCATGTGTGTATTTTTGGGATGAGCTGAATGCAGTGCCGCTGAACATGTAACAGAATTTATTTTGATATCTATGGCGCATAAAGTCAAACAGTAAAAAGAAATTGAGGTAGGAAATCGTTACGCTTACCCTTGAAAATCAGCAAACGAAATAGCTGTTCGTACTTGGGCTCAAACCCCGACCATTAGAGCCCATGGGAAATACACAACAATCTAACGTAGGAAGCAGGCTCCGACTTTATGCATAGGCTCATCATGCAAACACACTGCCGTTGAATAGACTTGTAAAAGTTAAACTTTCAAGATTCAAGCCGAAACAGATAGATAGATAGATAGATAGATAGATAGATAATAAAAATATTGAGATAGATATGAAAAATTGAGATAGATAATTGTTGTGGTAGGATCCACCTAATTTGCATAGTGGAGTACCGACCATATAAATATGGTTTGTACCGGGAAGAGAGGGAGGAATCAAGAGATTCAACCAGAGACTCTGCCCGACTGCGACTCAGTCAACACATTCTCCAGGAACGGTCTTACCAGGAATATACAAAAGACTATATGTAAATATTGTGTACACTTTCTTGTTTCAATACATTTTGTTCTAAGTACATTTTGTGTTGCATTATTATTCCATGCATTAGTCAAGTTTCCACAATAATAAAAATATTGAGATAGATATATAGATAGATAATGAAAATATTGAGATAGATAGATAGATAGATAATGAAAATATTGAGATAGATATGAAAAATCGAGATAGATAATAAAAATATTGAGATAGATAGATAGATAGATAGAAAGTGAAAATATTGAGATAGATAGATAGATAGATAGATAGATAGATAGGAATAGAGTGTGATAAATCGACACAAAGAGAAGAGAAAAGGTATATGCATATATTTAACATAGATATTTATACCTCAAAGAAACGTTAAGTAACAGCAATGGTTAAAACATTAAAAAAAAAACCTCCGTTCGGCCATCTTGTTTTTGACCCAGTATTTCGTAGGCGCCAAAGGGGCTCCCCAAGATTCTCGTCGTTTTTAATGCGCATGTGCACAAAAATGTTCATGCCTACATGCTCACACAATGACAGAACTGTATATTCACGCAGGAGAACAAAAAATATCCATAAAAACAAGGACTACACTGTTAGGAAGAAATGTTCACTTAAGTACTGGACAGCCACACACGCCATAAAGAAATCTGCTCAGAGAAAAAAAAAAACATTAATAAATACAACCTTGTCTTATAAATAAGTAAATATAAATTCACTTCCAAACAAGCCTTAACCGACAAAGATGTCTGAATATAGAAACATGAATCTATATGAAATTTTATGTCAAAGATCTATTTGTATGTAACTACTCTAATCTGATAGATAGACAAGAACAGTTTGAAGATAGATAGATAGATAGATAGATAGATAGATAGATAGATAGATAGATAGATAGATAGATAATGAAAATATTGAGATAGATGGATAGATAGATAGATAGATAAGAACAGTCTGAAGATAGATAGATAGATAGATAGATAGATAGATAGATAGATAATGAAAATATTGAGATAGATAGATAGATAATGAAAATATTGAGATAGATGGATAGATAGATAGATAAGAACAGTCTGAAGATAGATAGATAGATAGATAGATAGATAGATAGATAGATAGATAGATAGATAGATAGATAGATGAGTGAATGCATACTGTTGTATTTATATATATGTGAATGTATATTAGTGTATATAGGAGTGGGTGCTAAATTGTAGGAAAACTTCATCAATGATTTTTATTATTATTTTCTTCTTTTTAAACGCTCTTCTTCCTCTTCTTCCGTGCTTTTTCTTTGAGTCTCTTTCTTTTTGTTTCTTTTTTTATTCTTATTTTTCTTCTGTTTCTTTTTTTTTCTTCTTTTATACGCTCTTCTTCCTCTTCCTCTTCGTCATTTTCTGCTTCTTCCTCTACTTCTATCTTTTTATCCTTCTCATTTCACCCTTTTCTTCGTTTTCTTCACTCGAGCTGTTCCGTTTTTCTATTTCTTCTCTTCCTTTTTTTTATTAATTTCCACCTTCTGTTTTTCTGTTATTATTATTATTATTATTATTTTCTTTGATTTCTGTTATATACATATTTCCTTCCGGGTCCCTAAGGTCAGAAATGGCTTCATGACATTTTACAATTATTTTTGTAAAAAAAAATAACAAAAAAAAAAAAAATCCTAAGATCTCACACATTTTACATAGTTAAAGCTCTTCGTGATTTGCGAGCTGTAATTGTGAGTAGAATTCTTTGCATTTCTTTAAGGCATGGGCTTCCAGGAATCCCTCCAATAAGTCTATCAGAACCTTTTCCAATCAATCCGAAGGCTCCAACTACAATTGGAATTATTGATGGTCTCATGTGCCACGTTTTTTAGATTTCGAGGTCCTTGTATTTTGATAGTTTTTTTTTTGAAGATCTTCAAAGATACATTATAATCTTCAGTGACTGCCATGTCAATAAGAAGGTACAAATTGTTTTTGTATTCTCTAATCACGATGTCTGGGGGATTAGCTTTGATTCTTCTGTCTCTGTGTATTGTAGAGTGCCATAAAATTGTTACAGTTTCTATCTTTGTAACCAAGTCTGGTTCCTTTCCGTAAAGGTTGCAGATTTTCCAATGCAGATATTGGCCCACTCTGTCATGCTGGATTTTATATTCAGTGGGTGCCAATACCGCGCAACCTGACACAAGATGGTTAATTGTTTTGGGGTATTTATCACAGAATCTGCATTTTGGACGAACACTATTTATTATTATTATTATTATTATTTACGCTTTGCCTTTGCTTTGTGTAGTATATGTTAACCCACCAGTCGTAACAATAGACTTCAAGAGACAACAAGTTTTTGTATCAGTCGATGAGGTGTCATGCAACCAGGAAAATGTGATTGTGGTCATTACATGGAGAGAAAATTACACAAGATATGAGAACATTATTTAAATTATTCGGACTATTGTCCTCATCTTTGTCGCCATGTTTATTACAACGTTTTCTTCAGGTGGTTGGAATGTCGAACTGAACCCTTTGTTTCGCTCACTGGGGTAGACTGTTCTAGTTCCACGAGCCATGTTTGATGGATGTCAGTTATCAGTTATCTCCTGTTAATTCCTCTCTGAAAGTTCTCCACTGCCTTAACCGGGTATTGAACTCACACTCTTTGAGTCCTGTTACTGGATCTAACCAACGCCTTTATCCACTGTGCCATGTGTCCTCTGGGTATGAATTCCTGAGTATTATGGATATAATAAACCTAATGTCTTCCACAACCATTTTTACCAGTGCTCATATTGCAAATTTTGCTGTTATCATTTCATGTTTTTACCAGAGCTCATATTGCAACTTTTGTTATTATCGCTTTTCTCTGGCACTCCTTATTACTGCTTCCTATATTATATTCATTTCTATGCTTGGTCTGCTCAGGAAATTTTTGTGGCCTAGCATATGTGCTGATTCTTAAGTTTACAAATTTTCCAATTGTGTTCCTTGTCTATGATGTCAACCTGATCCCACAGAGGGCAGTGATCTCCCTTTTCTCTTCATATGTGGTCAGCCTCGCCTGATTTTTCCACTTCCCCACGTGTTACAGCTTTCTGGTGTTCTTGAAGCCTTATCTTGAGGGGGCGGCCTGTCTCTCCTTTATATTTCTTTCCGCAGCTGCACGGGATAGCGTACACACAGTCTTTAGTCATGTTCTCCTCTATGGGGGTTCTTACTCAGGAGAGGTATCTGCAAAGTGTTGTCCAGCTTCTGAAGGTTGTCCTGATGTTATATGGACCGCAGATCATTTGTATTTTCTCTGATGACCCCTTCACATAAGGCAGGCACACTGTTTTTTTTTTCCTGAGTGTTGTTGTTCTCCTCTTGTACCCGCCTATCCCAGTTTTGGGAGGTTGCTGCCATGTACCCAGGGTAGTTGTTACGTTGTAGGGTACTACGTGGAACTAGAACAGTCCACCTCAGTGAGCGAAATAAAGGGTTCTGTTCGATATTCCAACCACCCGAAGAAGGCTGGAGCGTACAACGGCCGAAAGGTTGTAATAAATATAGCGACAAAGATGAGAACAATAGTCCGAATAATGTAAATGATGTACATAATACTTCATCTCAGAAATATAGACAGATACTGAAGAAGTAGTTTTTTTTTTCAATTTATTTTAGGGCTACCAGGAATTTGATCCACACATTTGTTTGCTCCTTTTGATATAATTCCCAGAGCTCCAATAACAACAGGTAATGTTGTTGGCTTAAGATGCCACATTCTACTGATTTCTGTCGCGAAGTACTTGTACCTATTTAGTTTCTCAAATGTTCTCAAAGAAGCATTTTAGTCAGCTGGGTCTGTAACATATATTAGAAGACAGGTGTTTTCAACATGATTTTTCACAATTATTTCTGGTCGACTTGCCTAGATTTCCCTAAGAAAAATTCTAGAGTATGGTGGGTGCATATTTCTGTACAACTTGTGTGTGTGTGTGTGTGTGTGTGTGTGTGTGTGTGTGTGTGTGTGTGTTGGGGGGATATTCCCACCAATTCTCTTTGCGAGAGAAGTTGAATGCGCGGCATATTGACCAACGTATGTATTGTACAGTTCGATAACGTCATTGTAAGTATTCTATTGGCGCTAGTCGACCACGCCCAGATATTATGTAGTTAATTATTATTATTATTATTATTGAGTGCGAGCGAAGCACACCATTAAATTGACGCTGGGGAACAAATATAAGAAATTCAATACATACATCATGACACCAAGCCTGATATGGACATACTAAGCACATGCATTTTGTATAAACTCCTAGTGTTCTAATGATCACTGGTACTGTAATTAATTTCTTTATTAATCCTTCCCAATCTTTCAGTATTTCACGGTTTAATTCATTGTAGTTGTTGATCTTCTTTTCTTTATGTTCAATTCTTATGTCAAATGGACAGAAGACTTCTATCAAGTAGCCAGTCTTTTTTCATTTGTTTGTCCAAAATCTGTTTGGCTAAATCTGGCTGATTTTTGCTCTACGGTTGTCACCGTCTGTCTCGGAATATCCCACGGGATTTTCAGTTTGCTATTCTCCAGAATTTTCTTTTTCTATTATTTGTTAACATATTTCTTCAATTCTTTTAATATGGTTCTTGCGGTTGGCAATGGAGAATAGTTTGAGACATCATATATCTAAACACCATTAATATTCAAACTCTATGTCAGCTTTTATTAAGCACGTCAATGTTTTTTACAATACAATTGATTTTTTTTGTTGTTGCTTTTTTCTATTATTCATTCAATACAGGGCCTAAGAGTGGCAGATGGCTATGAAATAATATAAATGTGTACAAGGAGTGAGCAAGAGAAACATGCTATGAGGATATATAAAACAGATTACGGTTGACCTTAGACTTATTAACCAACTGATGTTGTTAACACTTTCAGGATATAAATATATTTATATGAGAAATATATGTGTATTTCAACTCATGAAGTTTTTATTAGAATTTTTGAAAACAGTTTCTTTTTCAACAATATAACTTTTAATCCGGCAACATAACTTTTAATTTATCAATAAATTCAAAAAGCCATCAGTCAGTTATGTGCCATGCGTGATACACGCTTAGGCGATCATGTATCTTTCGATACATGACTGACGAGGCAGATTTTTTCCCGCAGTAGGTTGCCATTTCTTTTTGTGGTAGACCATCAAAGGCTATAGAACCCTGTCTGTCATGCTATTTACCCATAGGGGTAGAAGAAGAGGATCCATACCTTTCCCAAGGGTATTAGCACGTAAGTGAATGTAATGGATTCAACTGGAGAGTCAGTCAGTCATGTACCATGCGTGATACAAGCTTAGGCGATCAT